AGTGAGTTCGGGAGGCAACCGATCCATGTGTCTCTCTCACATGGATCTTTCTTTTTCTCTCCTCCCTCCCCATTTCCTCCCTTCCACTCTCTCTAAAAATCAATGGAAAATATATCCTTGGGTGAGGATTAACATAAAAATAAATAAAATAGCCCTAGCCAGTTTGGCTCAGTAGATAGAGCGCTGGCCTGCAGACTAAAGTGTCCTGGGTTCGATTCTGGTCAAGGGCATAGGCCTGGGTTGCAGGCTCAATCCCCAGTAAGGGGTGTGCAGGAGGCAGCCAATCAACGATTTTCTCTCATCATTGATGTTTCTATCTCTCCCTCTCCCTTCCTCTCTGAAATCAATAGATATATTTTTTAAATAAAATAAAATAAACCAAAAGGTTCTATTTAATCACAACAATTTCAAATGAGTCCTTACTTTATATGCCAAGCTCGGGTCAAAGAGCTTTACTTATCTAATTTAACCCTCACAACAATTTCCACTTTACAGATGAGTAAATTAAGCACGAAGAACTTAAATAACTTGTATTTATTTACAAGTTTATTCCAAGTCCTAACAGAACATGGACCCAACCCAAATACTCTGACTCCATTATAGCACTTTTCCCTGATCAACTATTTCCATTTCTATTATTTCTGTGAATAGAATTAAATATCTAAAATAAAGAAAATAAAGATAAAGTAAAAATCAAAATTACTTAGTGACTTCAGGAATGAGTTAGGTATTCAACCTCTAAATATCCCTCCTTTTCACCCTAGCCAGTTTGGCTCAGTGGATAAGCAGCGGTTTTCAACCTGTGGGTCGCGACCATCAGAAAACACATATAGCATATCAGATATTTACATTACGATTCATAACAGTAGCAAAATTACAGTTATGAAGTAGCAACAAAAATAATTTTATGGCTGGGGGTCACCACAACATGAGGAACTGTATTAAAGGGTCACAGCATTAGGAAGGTTGAGAACCACTGGGATAGAGCGTCGGCCTGCAGACCAAAGGGTCCCAGGTTTGATTCCACTCAAGGGCATGTACCTTGGTTGTAGGCTCCTCCTCTGCCAGGGCCCTGGTCTGCATTCATAGAGGAGGCAACAAATCTATGTATTTCTCTCACATCATTATTTCTCTGTCTTCCCTCTCTCTTCCACTCTCTCTAAAAATCAATGGGAAAATATCCTCAGGTGAGGATTAAAAACAAGTAATAAATAATAAATAAATAAATAGCCCTCCTTTTCAAAACTAAGAACATGCTTTGGCCTACAGATACCAAGCATAACATACTTATTTGGAACAAAGTATCATGTGGAAGGTACTAAAACAAACCAACAAACACATCCTAATATATAAAAAGCCAGGGGGTGTCAAGACCGAAACAACCAGACAGACGACCGAACAGCAGGCTACGTGGGGCAACAAGGCCAGTAGGGGGGGCAGTGAGGGGCAACCAGGCCAGCAGAGGGGGGCAGTTGGGGGCGACCAGGCCAGCAGGCAAAGGCGGTTAGGGGTGATCAGGCTGGCGGGGGGTGGGGAGGGGGCAGTTAGGGGCAATCAGGCAGACAGGCTGGCAGGTGAGCAGTTAGGAGCCAGCGGTCCCAGATTGTGAGAAGGATCCCAGATTGGAGAGGGTGCAGGCTGGGCTGAGGGCAGCCCTGCCCCATGCACGAATTTCGTGCACCAGGCCTCTAGTTATATAAAGCCAGGTTAGGCAAACTATGGTCTATAGGCCAAATTCAGCTCTTGGTCTGTTTTTATACAGTCCCCAGGCTAAGAATGGTATTTACGTTTTTAAAGAGTTATAAAAAAACAAAACAAAGAACTTGCAGCAACAAACCTAAAATACTATCTAGTTCTTTACAGAAAGTTTGCCCAGACTCCTGATCAAAGCTACTTAATAAAGGGGTTTCCTCCCCCTATTTCTGAAATAGCTAAATGCACGAAGTGACTTGTTAGACAAACACTACATATCCTCCTATATAAAATGTAGTACACAAAATTGGGAGTTCGTCAGGGAGTTCGACCAGGGGGCAGGGCTGGCCAGGGGAAGGGGAGGGAGTACCTGGCCAGCAGCCAGCAGCCATTAAGATCCTACCAGTGCACAAATTTTGTGCACTGAGCCTCTAGTAGGAAGATAAAATAAGTGGATTGATTCCCTTAGCTCCAAACCAGAAGACAAAACCTCTGAAGCACATCCCCCAAAAGGGCAAAAATAAATAGTTCCCTCTCACCAGGAGGTGGCAGTAGATTCTTCCAGAGGCAAGGTTCTGGTTTGCCAATGGGCTCAAGGGTTTTGTGGTGGTTATTAAGAAAAGCAGCTTGACCTTCCAGAGCTCACTTTCTGGACCTGATAATCTGCATAAAAAGGAAATTGGAAAGGAGACTGAACAGGTGACAAGAACTAACCACATCCTCTTAAGTGACCTGTTCACTCCCAACTAGAAAAATGACACCATTTCCTAAATGCATATGGGCTAAGAATTAGGGAGTAGGCCGAGAAGGCGAGTGAGAATGATCAACTTACATTATTCAAGGGATGTTCTTCACTTATGATTCTACAATCTTACTACACTTCAGTTAGTTGAGTAAGACAATTGATTTCTGTCTCCACAACTTCAAGCAAGATGGCATTTGAAAGAGCATAAGTTAAAAGTAAAAATGCAAACTTTAGATATATTTCAGCAGAGTTAACCCAGAAAAGTCAAAACAGGAAATTACAAGTCAGTTGAACACATGCAAAAGTCCCAGGTACTGCGTGACTGCACAAGCCAGTTGGCCTGACAGGCAATGGCAAACATCCATTAACTAGAAGTGCCAGAGCTCTCATTCTTATTCCAACCCTCTACTACGTAACCAAAAATGTCATTTTTGCTCAGAAACCCTTGGACACTTAATCAAATAACATTAATATAAAACATGCCATGTCATGAAGTTGCTTGGTGCTCATGATGACTCAGCAGCTGCTGCAAAACAGAGGTGACAGCCTAGGATAGTAGACACCAAGTCCACAAAAGTTCCAGTAAGGAGTAAACAAACGCCTTATTTTATTATTTTGGACATTCCTGGATACTTTTCTTTGGTAATTTCGGACAATATTAAGTAACACCTACAATGTTGATCAACAAATCCCCAAACATCTTTAATACCAATTCAAAAGCTAAAAATGTATTTTTTCAATTAAATGGCTGAGGCAAGAAGCTAGAAGTATTTTAGATTGGGAAATAAGTAATCAAGCTCTCAAACAAACTACACAACCTAAAATTATATCAGCTCTAAGACAGATTGGATGATAGGTGTTATGCTGTTAAGGCATCATTTACCCAAATTTAGATTTTAATCTATGTACATTTTAAAATAAGCTATGATTAACTTTTGCCACCTGAAATATATTAGCTCCTTTCTTAACTCTGTGCAGACAATGACCTGTATTTAAAACGTTTCATTTTTTTATGTTCTAATTTTCTTTTAAGGAGATCTAAGAAAGTACTCAGAGACATTTATTCTTCAGGAGAAACAGAAAGCATGTGTCTAACTTCCATTCTACAAAAGGATTAGGTTAAATGGCCAGGCTTGTGACCTGAATTCTAATCTTAAATCTGCCTGCATATACCCCTGTTCTCACAAAGAAATCTGAATACTAAGCACTTTCTTTACATATCTGGGGAAAAAGTGGTGGGAATAATACTAATGCCTAGACTTCTAACCGTTAGTAGAGGTCTACCAAATATTATAAACCACAATTTTTGCTATTAAAAATTTCCTTCAAGCCTTTACTTTTAAAATTGTTTGATACAACTTAACACCACCAGCAAACATTAAAGTGTTCAATATTCATCATCACCCAGCATAAAGCAATCTAGGAAGTCTACCTTTAAGAGCACGCAACAAGTTATCAGACTCTTCTGATATATCTTTGCTTTTCAACAAGTTTAAAACACACACTTCCCACCTTAGTATCACCGAGTTTTATAAATGATTTTTATTAAAATAAGTTAGCATTTCCCTACTCAATCCCCACAACAAACAAGTAACATTTAAAAATGGAATTTCCTCAGAATCAAATATCTCATTTACAATTAGGATAAATTCCTTTTCATAATTTCCAACACCCGAGAGCACACACGGTGGTTAAATAATATACCACCACCAACATTCCTGGGTGTCAAAAGTTCTGGAATACACCCCGTAATATTAAAATATTTTGTGCATGAGATCAGAAGTGGCATCCCAGTCAACGACGCATAATGGCCAATTCTAACCTCCAAAATAACAGGGGGTGGGGGGCAAATGGGGTCGGGGACAGATGAGGGGAGAGAAGACTCTCGCAGCGGATAAAAGACGTTAAGGGTAGAGAGGGACTTTCAAAATGCCCCAGTGCCAAGGTAACTGTAACCCGGTTAAGGAAAAAAAAAATCTAAACCAATGCTCTTAGACTGGGGAGGGTACACGGGCAGGGGAGAGGAGGAACTCACTACTAGGTCGCGTCTAGGTGAGTCCACTTTCTGAGTAACGGCGCCCCCGCCAATCCCCGGCGCCCCGGAGACAAATTTCCTCGGGGCAGCTCCCTCCCCACGAGCATTGAAACGCAGGAGACTAGAAAACAACTCGCGTAGGGGCCTCCAGCCACATCTCCCTTTCTCCCTCGAGAGGACGTGAGCAATACCCTCCAACTCCCGTCCCCGCCAAAACCGAAAGAAGCGCGCCCCGCAGGCCTAGAATGTCTGTTCCCGCCATGCGCCGGCCGGGGAAGCCCCTGCCCGGGAGGGCTGGGAAGAGGCGGCCCTAACCACACGTGTGCGCGGC